CGGTGGATGGCCTTCAAGATGCAGGAATAAGTCATAATCAAATCGAACTTTCTTGTGTTCTTCCTTGTTTTTAAAATAAATCTCAATTGGCAAAATGAAACCAGCATACCCAGATTCTTCTACCTTGTAACGTGGATCTTTGCACACTCTTTTTGGCCTTGGAAAGCTTTCGTGCAAGTGGAAGACGACTTTCTCCACAAAGTGCTGTATGTTGCTGTGCTCCGGACCGCGCACGAACACCATCCAGTCGTGGGTGAATCCCTCCACGGTGGGTTTCTTGCAGACCAGGGCGCGGTGCCCCAGCTCCAGCTTCACCTGCACGGCACACGAGTTAGCCATGCCTGGGGGCCGGGAGCTTTGCTGGGCTGCTGTGCGGTCCCCCCTCCCCTGCCCCCTCTCAGCTGTAATTCATGAAGAGGCTGCTATGAATGAGAGCGCGCCCAGGAGCCGAGGGTAGATGGCAGACATTCTCTGCCTTTTTTCCCCCCACCCCGCGCTAGCTCTCTTGCTTATTAAACTCAGCCCTAAAAAGTTTAAAAAATACAATAAGGTTGGCACAGGATAGAGACGGATATAGGGCAATCTAGCAAGGATGTTGTCTCAAAAACTAAAATTACTGTTACAAGCCATGGTATTGCTTCATAAGCATCTTTAAGTTGGACAATGAATTTGAAAGACTGAAGAATTGATGCCTCTGCATTGTGGTGACAGCAAAGGGAACTGAATAGACCAGGGGCTGCCAAAAGAACAAATGTGTCTTGTTCGAAATCAAACCAGAGTTATCTGGAAGGTCAGTCCCTACAGAATGACATCATGCTTGGAAAAGCAGAGGGTTAGAAAAATAAAGCTCATCAGTGAGATGGACTGATAAAATGATAACGCAAGCAGGCTCAAGCATAGCAGAGACTGTGAGAACGGCAAAGATTGAGCAGAGTTTTGATCTGTTGTACACTGTGGTGCTACGTGTCAGTGACATCTAACAATAACAACAATCTAATGTAATCTAGTGTAATAGGTGTTCAACCTACTAAAAGTTTAGTCAATTATAATTCATAGAGACCCTACAGGAAAGAGGGTTTTCTATAGGGTTTTCTAGCCTATAATCTTTACAAAAGAAGAGTGCTACATCTTTCTGATGTAGAGTGGCTAGGTGTGTTAATAGCTGATCTTTAGGTTAGTAAGTGAACTTTTAAAAATTGTGTGACAGGTACTACTTTGATATTTGATTAGATATTCTCTCATGGTATCAGAAATTCTGAAACACTGTCTCAAGGTTGTTAACTAGGTTATTCAAGGGCAAAAAAAAAACAAAAACAAAAACAAAACAAGAAAAAAGGTTATTCAAGGGCATGCAAGAAAATGCATGAAAGCCTAAGAATCACTGAACATAACAAAACTTACAAGTAGTCTGAGAGTTTACAGAGCAGGAGGGGAAGACCCTCTATGAGATGGATTGATTCAGTGACTGAGGTAATAGGGATGGGTGTGTCAGAGGCAATGAGATTGGCACAGGACAGAGCACGGTTTAGGGCTGTTGTACATAGGGTTGCTATGAGTCGCAAACGACTCGATGGCACATAACAACAACAAGTTCATTTAAATCTAAATTGAGTCCCATACTCGACAATACCTAACACCACCACCCACCGTCACAATCTCTGCTTGCTTAAACCCACTCTTGGAATCACTGTGTAAATCCACCTTCCTCTCTTACATTCAGACTGTTTCTCTAATATACTGTCCTTTTGCAAGGACTGGCCCATCTGAGCAAGTGCTTGGAGAATGTGACATGAAGTCCCACTGTGCAGACTTGTAAGAGGCATTCTGGCGGCACTTCCTCCAAGATAGGTTTATACATTGTGATAAAATTATAAACGTAAAAAGAAAATTTTACTTCCAAAATGAATTTGAAAAGTTCTTAAACTAGATGAAAAAAAAAAAAAAGTTCTTAAACTGAAATGTTTTTCTACTTTTCAAAGGTATACAATGTAAGACATTAAATGTATTATAATTTTTAAAATATTCA